GGAGGCGGAGGCGGAGGCGGAGTTGGATGAGGAGGGGCACTGGGGGACGAGGAGGAGGAGGGGGAAGAGGAGGAGAGGCTGAAACCACTCAAGGAGTAGAGAGAAGGGGGACATATCAGCATACCGTATTTTCCCAGGGATCAAACCACAACACATGCGTTGCCGATGGGGGAACAGTCTCTGCTTCTGAATAGGATTCGTTGCATTTTCGATGAAAGAGTGCCTTCACTTGTCGACGCAGCCAAGGAGAAAATCAGGAATAATGGAGTGAGGACCGAAGCAGCCCATACACGCCTCGATGACCACGATGCTCGCCTCCAGAATTTGGAGAAGGCTTCGGGATCAGGCGAATTCATTCCCAAATCGATCGAATTAAAAGGGTTCTGTGATTTAAAAGTCCGAAGGGCGCACGTGGGGGGTCCAGGGATGAGGCGGAGACCTTGATCGCGAAGTTGATTGAGTGCCTGCCCGAGTCTTTGAAAGTGAAGTGGGGACAGATACACCTCAGGGGATCTAAGTGCCACAAGTTCAGGCATCGACGTGGCCCCAGGGTTCGCGGAAGAGCTTTCGGCCATCTTCAAAGATATTTTGAAGGACCCAGCCCATGGCCGCAACGGGAGCACCCTCTACACCACCGTGGAGCACAAACTTGAACTCCAAAAGGTTTATGCAGCAGTGGGTAAGGTAAGGGCCTTCCTACGCAGCAAAGTGTGGGCAGCAGGGGTGTCGGCAGAATGTTCATGGGAGCCAGAATGGAAGCTTACCGTCACCAACGGGCAGGTGGAGGCGGTCATCGGAGTCGTGAGCCCGACCGGCACGATCGTGTGGGACGACACGACAGGCCAGCAGCGTGTCCTGCTGTTGGCGGCCCAATTACAGCAAGGATTTGCCAGTTTCAAAGATTCAAGCGGCAGAGGGGGCCGCTATTGAGGTAGGTCCTTTGTCAGTAGCAGCGGGAACAACTGCAAGAACGGACGCTCGATCTTATCGACCATAGGAGGGGCCAGCAAGCAGTTCAAGAAACTCTGGAATATGTGCAGCATGTGCCGCGTTACTGGAGGCAGTTTTGATGGTATGTTGGGAGTGGGCGCCAATGTGACTCTGCCCTGAAGGTGTGAAGCTCTTACTGAGGACGGTGTTCTTCGGCCAGTTTCGTCCCATACGTCAGCCATGGCGGGTACCATATTATCCTGGCTTGATGTTCTGGAGTCAGGGCGCTGAACGCCTACGGCTCCCGATCTGGAGCTGATGTCCCCAGGGTGCCCGCAGAGTTTTGGACGTGCGGGCGGCGGAGAACGGTGGCAAGGCGAACCCAAATGGACTTTATTGAGTGTGTGGCACACTGCATCTGGGCAGGCACGCCCCAGAAGCATCGATTCCAAGGTTTCTGGCCGTTCTGACCACAGACCGCTGGCAGGTGTTCTGCAGGCCTGGGAGGGGAAGGAGAACGACTGGGAGAAGGGAAGAGTATCTACCCAGAGTGATGATGAGGAGAGTGGCGCGCAAGTGCGTAGCCTCTCAGGGTGGACCCCGACGGATGCAGCGAGTCCGGAAGAATTCCACAGGCGTTGCATGGACAGTGGTCTTATTTCGTTATCTTCTCTGCAGTCCAGGATGCTGCGGGCAGTTTTGGGCACTGCGATTACGACGACTCGTTATCGCAAACGGGAAGCCAGGCCTGCAGCCCTGTGGCTAGGTTCAGAGTCGCATCTTGCTCTGTAGATGCCCATGCTTCAGCGGTCACAATCTTCGCCGAAGTCGGCGGGCCGCCAAGCTCGCAAGTACTGTAATGAACTACGATTGGGGTCGGTACGAGTTGATCGTCCACGACGCCCTTTTCCAGTAGGCGACTTGTCCAGCGATCGCAGCGCATGGCTTCGCGAAGTCCTGACATTTGTAAAGGGTAGATTTGGCAATGCTTCGAATCGCCTGAAGGTGCAGGCTGCTCGGCTGAAGAAGCATGGCCACCATTTTTTCAAGACTCTCAATATTGCATGTGCTACCGGGAAGATCCAAAATCAAGTTTGGAAGTTGTGTTGGTGCTGATGGTTGTCCGCCCGAAGTAGACCGAGCGTTATATGTTCCCCTGTTGTCAAAACATGTGAGCTCTCCCAGGAGCCCGTTACGAATCAATGGTCGGAGGCGGCCCCGCAGTGGAAGCTCCTTGACTATACTGGGCTGCCTGAAGAGTAAAGTTTTGACTATTTTTGGCAAGTTTCGATAGCTGTCTAAAATTGGTTGCATGTAGAAGTGCTTCATGCGGAGTGTTCTGCAATTGGTCCGGTTCTTTTTGCCACGATCCAGTGTTTACAGCATTAGTTTCAAACCTGGTTTCTGTTGCGACGATTTGGTTTTGATGGCCAGGGCGTGTTTAAACGCTGCACATAGATGGGCTGGACTCTTCCTTCAGTCTGGGCGCCTCTGATGCAGCCACTGCGTCCGACGCCGTGGACAATGACATCTCCACGAATGCACTTCTCAAGCGCAATACCCATCCTATTTAAATCGGGTGCCTGATCAGGGAGCTGTCCGGGCACTGCGCCAAGCTGAACGCGCGGGGAGCTGGCGCCACCGAGAGGTTCGATTTCGACCACGGGGGCAAGCAGAGCGCCGTCGAAATACTTGACGAGATTAACCCTCTTTTGGAAATGAATGCGGAACCACTGTCAGATGACTGGCTGCGCAGAGGTTTCGGCTTCTCACCAGGGGGTGGTGCACATCTTTTGACGCACTTGGTCTGGGCAGAAGACCTATGCAGTTGTCCCGCAACCTCTAGTCAGTTCAGAGCAAGGCTATGGTGACGGAGCTTTCAATCGCCCTGAGCGCGCCCAAGTTGACCTGGAAACGCTCGTCCTTAGAGTTTCTATGTGCAGGTGGTCCGTTTATGGAGCACGGTGAGTCCGCGAAACTGGGCGCGCAGGGCCTCGAATGGCGTGTCGGTCCACCTTCGCCGAGCCCAGGAGGTGGAGATTCTGGGAAACATGATGGATGCCAGGGGCTCGACGAGATGCAGTCTGAATCACAGGATGCACAAAGCTGAAAGATGCTGTTGGGTGCGCGCCGGATTTTTCAAGGGTCGTGGGACCGTCGCTTGCAAGCTCCGCTCGTGGCAAGCTGGCCCTTGTGCTCCATGTTTGTTTGGCGCTGGCACTTGGCACATTTGAGAGAGCACATTGTCTCAACGTGTCAACTCAAACATTGTGAATTCCAGCGGCCCCGACAAATCTTCGCGACGAGACGCAGACTTACCGAAGGCCAAATGGCGTACAATCAGCGAACATCACTTCTGATATGCACTTGGCAACATAATCGTGGCGTTGCAATGATGCACCACCAGGTCCCGAGGGTTGTATCCATGCAAGGCTGGCGCGATAACCGTTTGCCTGACCATGTGTTCCAGGACCACGTGTGCCAGGTCCACCACATGTGCGAGCTCCTCAAATACCGTTTGCGCGCCCAGCGGGGCGGATCTCGACAGATCCCATGGAAGCGTCGGCGGGGGACCTGCATGGTCCAGGGCACCAGTGGGCACCCTGCTGAATGGGAACACGTGTTCTGCGAAGCTTATGGCCGGCAATGGCGCGAGTCCAGGTATACATTCAAGATTCCGGCAGATTGGAAATTCAAACTCGAGCATTTTACGAATTCCAATTGTGAGAAACTGGGCTTGCCAGCCTTACCTGGGAAGGCTATGGCGCATTTTGCTGATGGCTGTCCGCGCACCGCTGCGCTCGAATCTTCAGCGAAATCGCGCCGGGTAACTGACCTATCCAAGATGCCAGGATTCGCACGCTGAGCCCGACAACGACATGCGAATTGATTGGAAACGCTCGACTCGAAGGTGGTTATGCGTGGTGGATTGTCAACCTGTCCAGCGTGTCTCTATAGGCATTGCCCCGCTGCGGGATGCGGTCGCCCAGCTCGTCTTGGAAGGCATCCGCGCCAATTTGGTGTCGATCTTGAGGGCGGGTTGGACTTCACCGATGGCATGAGAGGACCCAGTCATCTGGCGACGGCGCGATAAGAATCTTGTGGCGGACTTCCTAGTTAACACACGATGGATACCAGGTCAAGTTGGCCAAAGCACGTCGGCTTCCCAGCTTCAGTACGCAGCACCAGCGATTGCAAGGTGGTGGTGCGTTCAGAAGGCGGTGCGCATGCCGGCTCGTGCTCGGCCACCGGTTGGGTCGTGGAAGTTGGCAACCCGATCGATGAATGGTTCGTGGCAGCACAGTGTACTGGCAAGTTCTGGGCCGTTTATGTCCACACTCCAATTTCGCCGTTTTTGGCGGAAGGCCTGGTTCTAGAGTACGCCACCCCTCTTCGTGAAAAGGCTGCTGGCGGTCTGAGCATATACAGTAAGCCTAGTCGACCAATAGACCAATAGGACGAGGAGGAGGATAATAATGAAACTGAGGATGAGGGGAAGGAGGGGGATGAGGAGGAGGAGGAGGAGGAGGAGGAGGAGAGGAGGAGGAGGGGGGAGGAGGAGGAGGGAGGAGGAGGAGGAGGAGGAGGAGGAGGAGGAGGAGGGAGGAGGGGAGAGGGAGGAGGGGAGGAGGAGGAGGAGGAGGAGAGGAGAGGCTGGAGGAGGAGGAGGAGGGCCTGGTCCTTCCTTCCTCCTTCAGAGGTTGCCTTGGGTTCGAGTTCGGACTCGTGTTCGGGGTGGAGCCAGGGCTGGGGTCCGGACTCGGGCCCGCTGGGTCTCGGGGCGGGGCTTCGGCTTAGGCTCGGGCTCGTGGGGCCAGGCTCGGGTCCAGACTCGGGCTGGGGCGCGGGCCCGACATTGGGCGGGCAGAAGGAGGAAGAAAAAGAGGAGGAGGAGGAGGAAGAGGAGGAGGAGGAGGAGGGAGGAAGGAGGGTGGAAAAAGGGAGGAAGGAGGGAGGAGGGGGGAGGGAGGAACAGAGGGGAGGAAGGAGGAACTCCTCCGTTTCCTGTTCCGCTTCCTGCAGGGAAAGTGGCGAGGCCCCTCGGCAGCCCCCACCCCCTTCGGCCGCAGGCGGTTGCGGCAGGGGCGGTTTCGGCGGGGGCGGCTACGGCGGCCGAGGCCGCGGCCAGGGCGGCGACGGCGCGCCAGGCCCCGCCGGCGGCGAGGCCGGCGGCCGCTTCCCTCCGTTCGATGCAGCAGTTGGCGACCTCGTGCCTGTGATGTTGGTGGCCATTGTTCCGCTTCGCTCGTTGTGCAGGCTGTCCTCCTCTTCCCTCTTCCTTGTCCTTCTCCCTCTTCCTCATCCTCCCCTGCCCTCCTCCCTCGTAGTGTTCTTTCTTTCTTTCTTTCTCTCTCTCTCTCCCTCGTTGTCCTTTTCCCGCCCCTCATTCCTCCATCCTGTCTTGCTGCTGCTGATCCTCCTCCTTCTCCTCCTCCCGCTCCTCCTCCTTCTCCTCCTCCTCCTCCTCCTCCTCCTCCTTCTTCTCTCTCCCTCCCTCCTTGACGACACGACGGCGACGGCGGCGGCGACGACGACGACCGACCTACCGAATGACCTCCCGACCGACCGACCGACCGATCGACCGCCGACCGCCGACCGCCGACCGGCGACCGCCGACCGACCGATCGACCGACCGATCGACCGACCGACCGATCGACCCACCGGCGGCCGACGCCCTCCCTCGAGGCCGGCGGCTTCAGGGACCGCGGCCCCGGCGGCTTCGCAGGCGGGCCCGAGGGGCCCGCCTCGGGCGGCGGCAAGAAGGGCGGCGCCAGGAGCCCGGCCCCTTCGGGGATCGCCGTGGTGGTCGTCGTCGTCATCGTGGTCGTCGTCGTCGTCGTTGTCGTCCTGGTCGTCGTCGTCGTCGTCGTCGTCGTCGTCGTCGTCGTCGTCGTCGTCGTGGTCGTCGTCGTCGTCGTCGTCGTCGACGTCGTCGTCGTCCTTGATTTCGTCGCCTTCTTGCCTGTCGTCTTGGGGAGGAGGGAGGGCTGGAGGGCGGAGGAGGAGGGCGGACGAGGAGGAGGAGGAAGAGGAGGCCTGGAGGAACGCGAGGGCGCGGAGACAGGCTGAGCAGCGCCAACATCAGGGCTGTGCAAGTGGCGAGGGGGGGCTGCGGGAGCGGCAGAGCCAGGGAGAGACCGCAGCAGGCCAGCTGCGGAGCAAAGCCCGCGGGCCTTCACTCCTCCGGCCAGGGCCGAGGCAGGGTGGGAGGAAAGAGCCAGGAGAAAGGGGGAGAACCCGCGAGAAGGCGAAGCCTGAAAGAGTACGCGTGGCAGAACTTATCTCCCACAACAGTCCCTGCTCGCTGCTGGGGGGAGCTGGCCCATGAAGGGGGGCCGCCAGGTTTTTGATCTTCCTCGTCTGGCGATTTGGGCGGCAGGGTGAGGCCAGACCATCAGCTCTGACTGTGACAACCGCGTACGGGTTGGCCTCACGTGGAACAAAAACTTGAGCCATGGACCCCACGCGGGGTCCTGTGAGTCCCGTGGATGGGCCGCCCGAAAAAGACAGACTGCCCTAGAAATCGAGCAACACCACGCCACTGCGTTTTTAACGCAAGCGCTGTCCCTGTTCAGCGTTCGCACGGGGATCACTGCCAACATGGTTTATGAGGACTAGGTATATGATTATCAGAATTGGCAAGAACTGGATTCAGCTGAAGAGTATGCCTGGCATACTTAGGAACGCGGGGTCTCTGCACCCTGGGGCGGGGTGGAGAGGGCCCACGGTGGAAAGAGAGAGGGAGAGGGAGAGAGAGAGAGAGAGAGAGAAAAAAAAAGCAACCCCGGAGTACCACCGCAACGTGCCTCTTCACAACCGCCAAGACCATGCCAATGAATTCGAGTTCGGTGTTGCATCTCTCCGAATTTGCCAGCTAGCTCGTCAGCCTGCTTTTTCAGCAAAACAGTGGGCCAGCGGCACTGGTCTCTCCTGAGCCTCAGCCAGGGTCACGTGGGGCTCAACCTTGAACACCCTGACAGTTATCCCAGGGTCCAGGCCTGACTTCAGCACCGCATCGAGTTAAGCCATTCAAATATATTCGAGGAGAGGAAAGCACCTCTCTGGATTGCCTCGAAACCTCTAGAAGCATCAGCAATGTCAGTGATATGTTGCCTGCAGGCTGAGCAAGGAAACGCCGCAGTGGCCTGAAGAAACGTGGAACGCGTAAATGACCTCGACTAATAGTTTACTTGAGCTTCCGAGGGGCGACGCGCGATCGAAACGGTTGCGCAGGGGGCCCACCTCGGGGTAGCAATCATGCATGCGCTGCGCAGGCCGAAGGTTGCCGTTGGCAATGGTTTGGTGGACCCCAAACAGAGCGAGCTCCCCCTTGCGTTGGAGGCTCCTCAGGAACTTTCTAAGGTTGCCCAGGTCGGGCATTCCTTTATCAAGGCCATGCTCCAGATACTCGCTCCGAGCCGCAGCCCACAAGGACCGCTGGATCGAATCGGGAAACACAACTTCAACATCAGATCAAGTGACATCCCAGACCGCATTCTTTTCGACCGGGGCAAAAGCTGGATACCATCAGGGTTCTTCCAGCGCCGAGGTCCCAGGGGCTCCAAGGCATACCGCAAAAGTAGACAGATGGTGGCAGAGCAAATGGCATGATGGGCTCGGGCATTGGGCGGTCTGACCGAAATGTCTGCAACTAATTTGCGCCGCGCCCTCTCGATGAGGTCCTTATCACATGCAAGGTGGCAAGAAAATGATCCCTAGAATTGATGGCGTCCATCGCGGCTGCGATGGCAGGGTCGGATTGCGCCATCTCGAGGTGGAGCTGCGCACTGAGGGACCTCTGTATACTGCCGCGCCTTAAGACCCCACCAAGTGACCTTCTCCATTGGAGCGGCACCGTTGGCCGGGCGCCGTAGACCTTCCCGGCGTAAGATAGGCGCGGAACGGCAGCAGTTGCAGTCAGTCTAAGGGCAGCCTCCTGTGACATAGGGCGCCCCGAGCAACATTCGCCATCTTGTTGCAACGAAGAACGGCTCTCTTGATCCTCATCTGGCGCTGCCGCGATGAAAGCCCAGATCAACCGCTCTATCATTGTAAGGTACGCGGAGTTAATTTTCCTTCAGCTCCTGCTCCAAAAGATGGCCTGCCGTTGGTGATGAGCTGGGAATGCTGAACTTGGGCGACATGACGTGGTCGAGGGCGCCGCAGTCATTTTGGGGCATCTCCGCTGCAACAGCCAGTTGTTCAGCAGCGAACTCGGGAGAAACTTGGGGGACGCAGCAATTCTGGCTTTGGGGTCGTCAGCCCGCGATTTGACCGAGAGAGGGGCACGATCATTCCACATCCTCTCCAGCGCCCTGTAAAACATACATCTTGAGAGATGAACCGCCGAGCGCGGCCCTATCGCCGTGGCCCTTTGAGGCTGGCTGGTGCATTAGAAATTACCTCACTCCTTGAGTATCCTAGGCGCAAAAGCATTTCTTCATGGTGAGCACCAGGGTGCGCGGAGGAAAGTGCCGATCCTCAGCTGTGGAAGTGCGGACCACCCAGTCCGCAGACCCACAGAGGGCCATGAGATCCCAGATCACTTCGATAAGGAATCAGATCGCTAAGAGGGGAGGCTCGAACAGTTTCATCAACAAAGTTCCTAGCCAAGGCAGCTCGAAGAAAAGATGACCGAGCAATGACACCATTCCAATGGGCACATCATTCTCGGTCGGCGGACTGCGCATCGCCCCCCGCAGATTCTGATCATCAGATAAGCTACTCTAGGAAGAAGGGTGATGATCGCGACCCTGGGCCGCCACGGCCAGGACCTATCGCGCTACTTGATGCGATATGTCGAAAAGGATACGGTTGTCATCATTGAGAAGCCGGCGCGGGTCACGCATGCTGTGGGCCTCGTTCCTTCTGGCGTTCGTGGGGGAGACCGTCATGCGAACCGGGCGGACCTGCTTGATGGTGACGGGTTCCAGCTCAGTATTGCAAGCTTTCTGTACAAATGCTTGCATCATTCGTTTCCTCAGCAAACGTTGGCTCGACCAGGCGTTCTCCCACCAGGCTCTCTTTGGGGTCATGGTCCCAATGGGGGTCGTCATAGTGCCCTGAGCCGCCCTGATATCAGTCAGAGTGGCAGGTGGGTGCCGAATGGCATCGCGCGACTTGCCAGGGACTTTGGAAGACATGGAGAGGACCCAAGCATCGAAACTGCATCGGGGAGCGGATGCCGACACCCTCTGAGCCCTGGTCGCACTGTCATCGACTGTGACTTTCAATTGCTCAAGCTGGGGTTGATCCAATACCCTGGTCTTTTGCAACGTTGAGGACCACTTTCCCCTTGAAGATGCCTTTTAATGGGTAGGGGGGCAGAGGTGGGAAGTTGTTGAATAGCCTCCCTGATGCGGACCTCGGTTATCAAAGATCTCAGCGATTGCGGAACGCGCGAACCACTTCCTCAAGATGCTCAAGCAAGACGCCCCACCATCTGGTAGCGGGATCCATGTGTTTGGGGGCAGTGGCAGGAACATGACAAGAAGGCCTCTCCCTTGGACACCCCCTGAACGATCTGACTGAATCCGGAGAAATGCCCAAGGCGGTGATGTAATATTCCCCGAGAGCGCCGAGCCAGCGACCATGGCGCTTCCCGCGGTGCTGGCTGAAAGCTGCGAAACATTCGAACACAGAGGGGGCTTGGATGAATTCGGAGGGCCGATGGGAGCAGCATTCCTGGGCGTCGAACTTCTGCTGCCACAGAGCGTTTCCTCCAGAAACCTGCATGGTGTCACCTTAGCTGGGATCCTGGGATTGCGGAAGCCCCACGTCGCCAACTTGCTGGGTGGGTGATTTGGCTCCGGGCCTGTCGGGGCGAGGTCAGGAGGTAGGCCCTCTTCAACTTCATCATCAGGCAATGGCTGGCCCAGGTCGGCGCAAGAAAGCTTGAGTCGGAGGTGGGGGGCGAAGAGCAGGTTCCTTCACCAGGACTGCGTTGTGGACTTGCCTCGATTCCAGTCAGCTGGCCCAGCCCTTTCTCCTGCCTTCCTGGATTACCTGCAATTGGGATCAGCCTTCCTCGCGTGGAGGTGTTGGTGCGTGAAGGGCTTGGGCAGTGGGTGAAGCAAAGCCATGTCTAGGTCAGCCCTCGCGCGCATGTTGATTTGCAGCCCACAGCGTGCTTTCCAGGCCACAACGTCGCGTGCAACCACCGCCGCCGCGTCAGCAATGATATCAGAAACCAGGAGCCGAGTCTGCGGGGGGACAATGCCATAGTCAAGCATGGATCACGCGCCCATCGTGCAAGTATAATCAACATCCGCAGCCAACCTGACTGCGTGAGCGTAGACTCCGAGACGTTCCAGCCGGCAAAATGGCACAGGGGACGCCGAGACTCTTAACGAAGCCGCCCATGGAAGCCAATGTTTGCAAATTGACCCCACGCACCAGATGAAGTATTGTTGATGTGGCAGACCATTGGAAGAAAGTTGTAAAAGTCAAGGTTTGCCTGAGTGGAGAAACGGCCTCTCATCCTAATTTGCTGGGCCCTGTTGATCGCCAGGTGCCTGAAATATGACGTCGTTAGCGTACTGCCTAAGCCGATAACGGCTCCTCCTGACAACTTCGCTGTGGATGTCTGGCGGGCTGGAGTGCAGATTGCAGAGTACCCATTCTTCTTCCAGTGGCGGAGCATGTCCTCATAACCATCCTCTGACGCATGTGCTTCCACCAGAATGTCATCGCACGGAAAGGGAGAACGCATAGAAGGCTGTTAGGGTGTTAGGTTTTTAGACTGTTAGGCTGTTAGGCTGTTAGGCTGTTAGGG